TCTAAACACCTAAGTTATGACTTTCTCCATGGGGTATTTAACGACGCTTTATGTCTTGAGACTGTATAGCCTCGCATATTAATTATATAGGGCACACTTTAATATTATCCACTTATCCACGCATAAGTCTCTAATTTGGTGTCTTCACTTCAAATATTCAAACCAAAATTTTGTGTGAATTTTTCTCATCCATCTTTGAAGATCAAATTGAAACATCTATGAAGAATAATTAGGATGACACGTTTATTGTTCTGATATTATATGCTTAATTTTCATAGGGTTAATATATTTTATATGACAGGATTAAATTCGATTTCAGCACAAACAACTTATTTTTTATAATTATTATCTTTTTGTTTGAACCGCGTATGTCAGTTACCGTGCTTCATATTAGAGAGACAATGGATGCTATTTAAGGTGAAATGAGGAGTAGAATTGCCCCCTAGAAAAGGATATAGTGATTCAGCTCAGCGTCCTACAGGAAATTGGTTTTTCTTCTGTTGCAGTGCAATCAGTGGAGGGGGAAATGTTGTCTCTAACCAAGGTGACAAGATCAGAGATGGGTGCATACTTGTGCATCGCTGCCAATGGTGTTCCTCCTTCCGTAAGCAAGCGCATGATGGTCCACGTCCATTGTAAGTGTGGCTTACTTCTGTCTGATTATGAAGACGTGTTTGCTTTGCAATGATAATGTAGATGAGGTTGTATCTGCCTATGACTCTATAGCTCTTGTGGACCTTTGTCACTTGTTCATGTCTGCACAATCGGTAGGACTCCCTGGACGGGGGATCGGCCCGTCGCAAGGCCGCTACCTACATACACGAACATAAACGTACACAGACATCGATGCCTCAAGTGGAATTCGAGCCTACGATCCCAGAGTTCGAACGGGCGAAGACAGTTCGTGCCTTAGACACAGCGTGACCACATAATAGGCAGATGAGGTTGTATGTTAGGTTGAATGTCAGCCATGTATTAGAAAGTATAAGGAAGACGTGTGCTGACATTTGACCCTTTGCCACTGGTAACGCAGTAGAGTATGATAAAATTGAACTTCCTTGTCGCCCTTAACGGGCAAGAGTGCAATATGTAAAAGGAAATTCCGTTATCATATTAGAGTATGGTTCGGATTTATGTGACTAAACATGGCGTAGAAATTGCAGACTGTTATGAACGAGATAATGGATCTTCTGACTTCACAAAAAGATCAAGATTTTTTTTTTCACAAGATGAGCAATTTTTTCTCTCAAAAACTGTTCTGCTTTCTGGAACGAAACGAGCTCGTCGTGGATGATTTGATAGGCAGAACCATGACTAATCTGCAGAGAACACGCTGCCTCATCGACGGTAACTCACCGGTACGCCAGTACCATCTCTCGAGCTCTCTGAATCTTCTTGTCAGTGGTGGAGGTTGACGGGCGTCCTGCTCCCTATTCATGCGTCACGCTTGTCCGGCCACCTTTAAACTTCTCGATCCACTCTTACACACATCTGCATGGTAGAGCACTGTCCGCGTATTGTGCTGAAAGCCTCCTATGAATTTCAGCCCCTGACACACCTTCCAACCAGAGAAATCGGTTTGCTGTTCTTTGTTCCTCCGTGGTGCACACTGCTAGCGGAGCGGCCATGTTTACGCTGTCACAGCATCGAGGAAAATGATGCGATCAAGGTCAAACTTCGATCACGTGACCACAATAGTACCAACTCCTAAGCATACATGCTCAGAAGGCAGTGTGACAAACCTAAAGATGTGTTATGGCGAAAGTGCAGATATTTTCGGACTTTCCCTCGTATTTAATTATGGTTTCCTTAGCGACTGTCAGTAGCTCTGATTGCATAGCATCAGATTCCATAATGAATTGGGGAGGTAGTAATCGGCCGTGGCTTAATTTCGAACACTATCCCAGAATTTTTCCTTGAGAAATTGAAATCACGGAAAATTTCCGTTAGTATAACCAGACTTCTGACTGAGGTTTGAACTCAGGACTTCTCGAAGAAGAGATAGAAGTGCTACACACTATACATCTGGCAAATTCATTATGTAGTTTGTTTTTTTCAGTGAATAAATATTATTTCATTTAATTATCATAATCCTTCGTCTTTAAAGTTATCTCGCGTTTTTATCCTGAGTTAACAGACAAAAATTTGGCCAATATCTCGATTAATCGGATGGAAACTTCAAATTTTTCAGTAGAGGTGCAGTGTAGAGGAAGCGTCAGCAAAGCCGGAAAAACTTGCGAGTCAGAAAGTAGTGCAGTCTGCGTACTTCTCCTGCTTCTTAGAGGGAGGGTGGAACTCTGGGAAAGTTTGCACCGACCTAGCTATGTATGCATGAGAAAATACAAATAGGGCATTATTTTGCTGTGTGCAGTATTGTATCATGTACTTTTTGGCAAAGAAGCTTATAGAAACTTTCAATGCTCTTAAGCTCTGTAAAATCTCTAATGCTTCGAGAATGTAGAGACATTGTCGCTGCTGCTACTGCTGCCAATGTTGTGGATAAAACTTCATAGTGTGAAGACATTTGGTTATATCAGGGGAAGTCTCAAGTTGCTGGTGGAATAAGAACGAACGTCAGTCGGTGACAGCAGGTCGTGTTGCTTAACTTAAAACAGAACACATCTTACGAATCTGATTTAAGCTACAGCAATGTGAAATTGTACCCACAATTGTTCCTTTACTTAGATTTTGTTCCTTTATTTTCATGTCCTTTAAAAATCAAGAATCAGAAGATATGAAATTCACACAAAATTATAGTAAGAATATCCCAAGAAATGGGCCACTTTTAGGACCAAGGCCTATATAAAAGGATACTATTAAAATGAAATTGTTATATCAGTAGGATGTGAGGATGTGGACTGGATTGATCTGGCCATGGACACGGTGCAGTGGTGGAATTTTTCACGCACTGCAATGAATCTCCGGCATCAGAAAAAGCTGGAAAATATTTGACCGGCTGGCCAACTCACAGATTCACAAGAACAATTCAGGAAACAGGTGTCCATTTGCTTTAAATTTTATCCTTCAATAATTTTCCTTCTTTATTTATTTTATATTTTTCGTTCTTCACTTTACTAATTATAATGGAAGAAAACGAAGCAATTTGGCCAAGTTGGGTGTGCTTCTGACATTTATTCGGGATGTGACTCGTTAGAATGCCGGTCAGAACACTGACTATTCTGGCTGAAAAATACGAGGTTTTCCTCAGTCCCTCCAGGTGAATATTGTGATAGTACTTTCAATTAGGACATGACGGGTTGCTTTCGCATTATTTGCTGTCACCGTTCATGTGGCGCTGCAGACCCAAGTATGAGTTACAGACTGAACTAACTGCTGAGTCCTTCTCGAGAAACTGACAGTTGCGCAGCTACTCAGGATCTTCCAAATATTCTATTGAACCCGAAGTTTCGTTACCTTGCTCACAAGAGCCCTCCACAGGTCCCTTTCCTGAGCCAGATCAACTCAGTCCATACCACCCCATCCTATCTCTCTAAGATCCATTTTAATATTTCCACATACTTACGTATTCGTTTTCATAGTGGTCCCTTCTTCTGGATTTCCTACAAATATCCTATATGTATTCCTCTCCTCTGCATTCGTTCTACATGCTCTGCTAATCTCATTCTTTTTCATTTGATAATTCGAATTATAATACGCAAAAAGTGCAAGTTATGAAGCTCCTCATTAAGTAGTTATTTCACCCTCTTATCGCTTCATTTTTCTTCAGCTCCCTGTTCTCAAACACCCTCAGTCTATGTTACTCCCTTAATGTCAGAGACCAAGTTTCACATCCATACAGGCAAAATTATATTTTTCTATGTTCTAATTTGTAGGCTTTTAGACAGCAGAGGGGATGACAAAAGGTTCTGGACTGAATGGTAGCAGGCATTACCTGGATTCAGTCTGATTTTAGTTTCCTTTTGAATCAGGTTTTGATTTGTTATAGTCGTTTCCGTATATCCGAGCTGTATTACATTTTCAAAACATCTGTTTCCTATCTTTATATCACGATTTTGTCCTGCATTTTGGTGACGAGATAACAAAATAGACTTAGTTTTCTCTGTGTTTACTTCTAGACCAACCTCCTTACTAAAGTCAATTAAAATTTTGTGTGTTTTTCTTTATGGTATCCATATTATCACCCAGTAAATTCACTTCAACAGCATGGGCCTACAAATTAAAATTCGCTTAGTGGGGGTTGGAGTCCAACTGGGTCCACTCGGCACGACGGCCACTGATTGGCCTATTGTAGCCTACCCCGCGTGATTATGATGATGAAGAATTTGGTGGAATGAAGATTGGTAGGGGAAACCGAAGTACTCGGCGGAAACCTGCCCCAGCGCAACTTTGTCCGCCACAAATTCCACTTGACCAAACCTGGGATCGAACCTCGGCCGCCGCGGTGGGAAGCCAGCGACTAACTGCTTGAGCTATGGCGCGGCCTTGGACAAATAAATGGTATGTCCCATTTAATTAGGAGGGGTTACTAAAAGTATACTTAAAATATCACTGCAGGTATGAAGTGTTCCTCAACATAGTATATCTTGATTTCATTATTAATTATTAAAGTAGTTAAAAAGTTATAGTTAGCTTGCAAGAAATAAGTATTCTGCATAAGTTACACATGCCTGGCGAAACATAAAATTCTCCCACTCTCAGAAGGGAAGTAATGCGAAAAATATATGGAGCATCATTTGAACAGAATACAATTTTGCCCCATGTATCGTCTCTCCACGATTCTCCCAACAAATACGTACACTAGTATAACAAAATGAAAGTAAAAACACCGAAGCGAAATCTCTCCTGCAATCAGAGAGACACCTACCCACAATTCCCCACATTTTGTGGGCCCATCCTGCAAAGAACGCACAGAAAAGAAAAAGTACATTTCGAATGTTTGTCTCAGGAAGGACACAAATACACTAGATCTACTGAGCTTGGAAAAGCCTTGCTTCGTTACGGTGTCCGTATACAGGGAACGTAAAATTTCTTACCCATCCCAATTCACTTCCTCCTCAATAAACATAGGCTTCAACAAGACGTGTATATGATTCTCTTATAAACTAAGGATCCTTCCAAAGGACATGGGATGCATAACGAGACTCTGGCTTTGCGTGGGAACTAACTTTGCAAAGAGTAGCACCATGACAGACATGTTCAGGGCAAATATCTTTGAGAGTTATGATATAAAGAACGAACTTTAGCCCTGAAATTCTGCAGGCGGTGCTCCTGATGACTATCATTGGCTCAAGCGAGATGTTGATGACTGCATAAAGGGAAAGGGTGGGGTAGTAGCAACAACAAATACAAAGCACAGAAATCCTTATGAGTCTCATGTAAGTTTCACTAAGCCAGACTCCATAAATTATGCGCGCGCGGGTGTGTGTGTGTGTGTGTGTGTGTGTGTCTGTGTGTGTGCGCCTGCAGATCACGTTATTTCCAGCTGCCTATCAAATTCCAGCTTCATGTGGATTCCAGGTCTGTACGAATATTTACATTTATGAACAGATGAAAAGTTTACTCCCTCTAATAAAATTATTTATAATACTTCCATTTTATTTCAATGATTGACACATCTCTGATTCAGTTAATTTTTTATTCAAAGTGAATTAATTTTTGTTGTTACATGGGGCAG